CATGCCTCTCCTTCCATCTGAGGAACGGCACGGTGCGAAAAGGACCACTCGAGTATTCTAACTAGCGACGGCGAATTCCAATCCCTTGACAGCAGAACCAACCCCTAAAGAGACAGATCACCCTAACTCACGGTGAACTATGGATTAGGAACACCCAGTGAAGCCCCTGGTAGCTAAATCATCGTAGAGAAAACGATTAGATGATTTTCTAATTGTAATTTAACAAAGCTAAACTGTTCGACCATTCAAAATAAAGTAATAACTAATTTCAAATCCTCAAACACGCAGTCGGATAGCCCAGAAGTTCACTCAATAGAAGTAGAACCGTGCAAACCTGCTGAAATATTTTCAATAATCCCTGAACTCCTCAATGCACATTTCGGTGATACTCGCGATCTAAACTCTCTCTTTTGGGATTTACAACAAGTAAAACAAAGTATTAACGAATCTCAGTTAACATTCTTAAACAGAATCAAATCTCCCAATGCAAAAATTCACGCAAACATAGAAAAAACCAATCTATCTCTTGAACACTGAATACCCTTCTAACAGGTTTAGACCCGAAAATTAGTCACATAATTCGTGCAAGCAACCCAAAGACATCCTAGAAGCGCAAAGTCGTAAAAGACGGGAACTTCAACTAATGTACTTTGAAGATCAAAAATTTTCGAAATCTGCTTCTCCGAAACCTTTTTTCTACGGTAAAGGCACTAAAATAAACATAGGAAAATCTCCAAAGTTTGGCGTGCTCCTGTTGTAGTGAAATATACATTTGGATAAAATTAGCAAAATTGCAAAAACAAATTACATAATCACAAATATCTACATCAACATTATTTTACACACATTCGGATACCTTCATCTGAAATACTATGGAACTGGCAGCGATATTGTTTCAACATCAACAGATTCTGACCTTTTTGCTCGACAATCTAGGTGATATTAGTCACATCTAGATCCATACAATCTGGAATTTGCAGATTCTCCAAAATGGTTTAGATGTGCAAAATAGAATTTCTTAAAAAAACACAACACACTACTGGCGAATTGAATACGAATATCGAGCTAGATACGAAGAAGGCATAGCTCAACGTTTCTGATATTATCTTATTTATAGCATTGTTACTTAGAATGATGTAAAAATATAACATTTCGGATATTAACAAGTAGATACACAATAACAAGTAGACCTTTTCTGCCGAGGCGATTACGTACAGGAATTGCGGATAGGGCATGGGAATGCACAATTTTGAAGTAAGATGTGCTGAGGTACCATTCTTCTTTTAAAGCACTTAATTAAATAGAAATATCTAAATACGGATGGTCTAATAGTGTGATCCTGCTGTGGCGAGACATAACAATTCCCCCAATGGTAATGAAAAAAACACCAGAAAACATATTTTTATTAGTTACATTGTTAAAAAAGACGATACGAAATGAGATCTCACGTGCAAGATACTCAAGTAAGCAAATATTTGAAAGTTGTTTTGCTTTCATATTCAAGTCACATATTTGAGATGGTAATGACTTCTCGATATGCGGTGAAGGATCTGACGCTACCTGAAACAAATAAATAAATCGTAAAAAATTAAATATGAATAAGGCCGGAGTCAATAATACAAGTATATACTCGGAACAAGCTTTACTCGGTATATACTTCGCGATTTGCGTTCTACAATGACGGAACAACTTTGCTCCCGGTATATCTGCGGTATAACGTGGGGAGATATACTTCGGAATGCTTGCATTCTATTGGTCAATTTGACGGTGAACATAACCTAGTGCTAATGTTTACTTTTTGTATGCAAAGTGGGTTTGTTGCATAGTCGTATTTTTTAATATTACTTATAATACCTATCTACATTAAAATTAAAGAAAATGGATTTCACGGACTTGAATGTATTCGATTCCGATGACGACATGGATGATTTTTTATTACGTCGGCCACCTAAAGTAGTTAGAAGTCGGAAGGTATATTTTATATTTGATTCACGGTAAATATAGTTATCTAAAATCTAACTTTTCATGTAATTGCAGTACAAATTACTTTGAGGAATTTGATGATTTGGAGTTTTTCAAACGCTTCCGGTTGCAAAAAGGGACTGTTCGTCTGTTGATAAGTCAAATTGAAAAAGAATAAAAGCGCCAACTTTGCGTAACAAAGCGATATCCCCAGCTACAAAAGTGTTTCTGGCCTTACGCTTAACAGCCGGCGAATTCACAGGAGTGAGCAAAACCTCAGCTTGCAATATTGTTACTCAAGTTACAGACGCCATAGCCAGATTACGAACAATTTCGATTCGATTTCCTGAAACTCAAGCAGAGATCCTGTCAACAAAGGAAGTATTTAGTTTTGTGACATTGCCATTGGTCGAGATTTTTCGTTGAACCGTCAAACGGTTTTTAAGGTTATATTACTGTTTATGATGTTTTAACATTTTCATTTTTTTATTTTACTATCGTATACAATATAAGAATGGACAAGGTTTTGAATATTTGGACGTAATAGAGGAGGAAATAAACGAAGACCAACGTGT